CGCGGACTTCCGTATTCAGCTTGAGAATTCGGTCCCCAAGATCCATTTGGGTGAAGCTCTCATCAGCCGCAATGGTGTCAATCTTTGTAAACTGATGCTCTCTGAACTTTACCAAGTGGTCATCATCAGACTCCATATAATACAGATTGAAGGTCTCTTTGCAAGTGCCCAGAACTAGAGGGATACTATTACAGTCCCTCAAGGTAAACTTGAGCTCCACATATATCTTCTGAGCTGAATTGCGTGGAATCCAGTTTGTTCGCAGCCAATTGTTTTGACTATGATCCATAACATTGCACACTTGGTAAGTTCTGATTGGAGTATAATGCTCATCAACACCGCTAATCTCTTCCCACTGGAAAAAAAAAAAAGAAAAAAGAAAAAAGAAAAGGAAATATTTTAAGGTTAATGATTATACCAATAAGAATCACATTTAGAGACAAAAGCTGTGAAAAAGCAAAAATCACTTTGCTTGGAGATCACTATAAAATAGACAAAGTCTGGTTGAACTTGCGCTTACTTTTTTTCCTATTAAAACATATAAACTTCTTAAATGAACACAGCATTCACCATTAAGAAGTCAGTTTTCACCAAGTTATTTTAAGGTGGCATGAAAGAGATGCTACAGCTGTTTTGCATTATTAAAAACCTGTGACTTCTTAAACTATATGCAGTGCTGTCCTTTCGATCATGATCCCAACAAGTCTTTACTATAGCCACACCACCTCAAATAGAAGAGGTTCACTAGGGCAACACCACATTTTCACTGTTAGAATCAAGTGGTATTTCAAAGATTAAACAAGATTTAAAATCTTACCAAACAAAAGCCAATGGCTCCCACTGAAATTCCATGTAGTCACAATAAAATGTTACAGTTTTAAATCTATTCAAAGCATGACAATTGATTTTGTTTGGGATATATGTCCCCTGGACAAACAGACAAACTTAGCCCAGTTTCCAGAGTTATTAAAAATTACTGCCAACTTACCATATCTTGGTTACTTAATTCTTCTGTAGACTATATAGGCTATGATGCTAAAATGGTTTTTGAACAATACATAGGAGTACATAGTCATCATTTGGTTTTTGCATCAGTCATCAGCTGACAAACTTACTTGACCCAGACAGGGAAGGCATGGGTTTCCTACTTGTGAACTACTCATGGACCCACCTGATTTCTGAGGTGACACTTACCAGAGGGAATATTTACCATCCACAGGAAAAAAAAAAAAAAAATCCTACAAGGTTACTTAAAGTAAGTATTTACAGTTAGTCATTTACCATAGAAAACTAAGTGACTTAAGATGCACCCTTCTTCACTTTCTCCCTGAATGGATGACTAGGACCAATTTTTGGTTTTGGGTTTTTTTTGTTGTTTGTTTGGGTTTTTTTTAAGGTCGTAATTCTTCACCTTTTATCCACACAAAAACGGCAGCTGCTCTACATTCCGAGTCTTAAAATACAAAATGAAGAGCCTTACCACTAAAGTGCTAGAATTAAAACTCATTACAATGAACAATAGCTGTTACAGAATCACAACACCACTGAAGCCGAAAGAAACCCTTCCAGATCTTCTAGCCCAACCCCCTGCTCATGCAGGGTCAGCCAGAGCAGGTTGCTCAGGATCTTGTCCAGTCAGGCTTTTGAATATCTCCAAGGATGGAGACTTCACTGCCTCTCTGGGCAGCCCATGCCAGTCTTTGATTGTATTCAGAATAAAAAGGTCAGTCCTTATATTTAAATGGAATTTCCTTATTTCCGTTTGTATCCATTGCCTCTTGGCCTTTCACTGGAAACCAGAGAGAAGAATTTGGCTCCATATTCTCTATACCCTGCCATCAGGCATATATACACACTGGTAAGATCCCCCTGAGCCTCATCGTCTTCTGTTCCATGCTTTGAACTTAATTACACAAACAAAAAAGGTAAACTCCTATTGTGATAATGAAGCACATACTAACAGTACGTACGGTAGCAGAGCAGCTAGGGAAATCCTTGCTTCACTGTCACTCACATATGCAGCCTCTGCAAAACACACAAATGCTGCCCCATGCAACCAGATGCAGCACAGCTGGGGAGAAGCAGAGTTTCAAACAGAGCAGCTGCATGGTACAAAAACTGGAGATGCAAAGTAGGCAGAATTAAGTATGTTGTGAGAAATCACTGTCACCCTTGGGGGAGAAGACGACAAAGAACTTCTACCAGGAAAACACCTCCCCTCAAAAATCAAGTCACATCGATACTACATTTAAGTCCTCGGTCTAACACTTACTCATTTTACACAAGCACCTTTGCTGAAGGATCTCAGTGTACTGCAGAGCAAACAATTAGGAGAGGAAAGTACTATGCCCACTTTACCGACAAAGAAAGTGAGGTAGAAGTGTTAACTGTCTTTACGGTTTCCTGGGTTTACAAGACATGCATCACACACACAAAGAAAGACAGGGAAAAAAACCTGGCCACATCAGAATAACATCTGAGAGTTCTCAGTCCCAACCCACTGACTTAGGAATTTGCTATGACTAAGAGCAATGAAATTGTCCACGCACCACTGAAGATGTGATTTTAAATCACGTTATTAAACCAGCAGATAAAAGCAGTATAAATACTCTTCCTTTAATTGAAACAAAGTTTATTTTAGTTCACTTTACAGATCTGATTATACACAAGTTTTATCTTTTCCTGACTAGCTCAACAGAGTTAAAAACACAGTCTTGGATGTGTATACAGCGGCTGAAATGCTGCAGCAAGACATAATATGCTACATTGCCAATGACAATGCTAGCAGTACAGCGACTTTCTGAGTCAAAGTTACTACACTGGAGTTCATGGACACTTGAGTGCTGGGTGTGATGTGGCAGCCCATCATACAAGGACGAGCTCTTGCCTGAGTAAGAGGCAGCTGGACCCTGGCTCCCAGCCTCTGCCAAGTTCCCAACACTGAGTGGAGGACCCTCCTCTGACAGATGTCTTTGTACAAGTAGAGCTCCTGAGTCAATAATCTAATCCTGTGGCAAAAAGCCACCCAGATGCCATAATTGGCCTCCCGTGAAGCTGGATGCACCTATTTAACTACAGGTCTTACCTGGACAAATAAAAATTCAGTTACAACAACTAGATGAAACTAGATAAGGTTATATAATGAAACATAATTGTACAGACATTTAAAGCAGCTCCCACTGATAAGTGATCTAATTATTATCTCTTCCATATAATTTCTAATCAGTTCAACACATTTTACACATGCAGTGGGAGACAGAAACAAAATCAGGAACTTGGAGAATTTAAAACATCTTCACAGCAGATGTTATTTTTCTGAACAAGACTTGTTGAATTTTTTTTCCAGAAGTTACTTCTCCAACACGCTTACAGAGACAGTTGAATGTAGATGTATGATTGCACGATAAAGGTAGCACCACTACTATGTTCTTCACCTAGAAGTTGCAAGGTGAAATTATCCCTTCATTGATTTTCAATGGAAACCAAATTGCTTGGAAACAATTGCACTCCACGTTAGTTCTCTTACGTAAACAACAAAATTTCAAATCCATCATTTAGTGCTGAAATATTGCTGAATGGAAGCACCAAGCTCACACTGGGTGCTAACTTGACCAAAATAGTTTAACTGTTACAAGAGGAGATTGTAGCTATTGCTTTAGAAAGAGTCATGGCGAAGTAAGTCAGTGAAGCGCCAGGAAGAGTGTCCAAATCAGAACACATACCAGATTCAAGTAGATTTGTGACTTCAATAACTACTATGACCAAACTAAAAAATAAGCAGTAAATTTGCATTGCTCATACATTGCAACTTTTCCCAGTAAGCTATCGTATTGCCATCCCTAAGTGATCTTAATTCTAAACAGATTATCAAGGACATCAAGACAATTTCCCTTTTATGACCCATGAGTTTTTTCTATTACGTGAGGTTTCTAAAACACCTATGTTTGTAGCTGTTTTAATTTTTATTTCTGTACTTTTAAGTCATGTGTTCAACTTGCTCTGTAAAGTTACAATAGTTACCCAATTACTTTCTTTGAATAAATAAATAAGTAGGACAGACAGATTCTTGTTTCAGGGATGGAATTAAGGAGAGAAAAACATAAAACAAAATGCATGTTGGTTAATAAAATATTGAATGTTTTCTTATTTAATCACAATTGTCAATTGCTCCTTGATTCCAGGGGCTCAAATGACAGCAAGCAGTCTTTCACTGCAAATCCTTGTATATTACATTCATGGGGCATCACAGAATGGTTTAGATTGGAAAGGACCTTAAAGATACCTAGTTCTATCTCCGCTGCCATGGGCAGGGACACCTTCCACTAGACCAGGTTGCTCAAAGCCCCATCCAGCCTGGCCTTGAACACTTCCAGGGATGGGGCCTCCACAAATTCTCTGGGGAACCTGTTCCAGTGCCTCACCACCCTCACATTAAAGAATTTCTTATGATATCCAATTATATCTACCCTCTTTCAGTTTAAAATTGTTAGCTTCATCCTATCACTACACTCCCTGAAGAGTCCTCCCCAGTTTTCCTGTAGGCCACCTTTAGGTACTGGAATAAGGTCTCCCTGGAGCCTTCTCTTCTCCTGGCTGAGCAACGCCAACTCTCACAGCCTGTCTGAATAGGAGAGGTGCTTCAGCCCTCTGATCATCTTCCTGGCCCTCCACTGAACTCGCACCAAGAGGTCCATGTCCTTCTTATGTTGGACGCAGTACTCCAGGCGGGGTCTCACAAGAGCAGAGGGGCAGAATCACCTCCCCCAACCTGCTGGCCATGCTTCTTTTGATGCAGCCCGGGATATGGCTGGCTTTCTGGGCTTACGAGCGCACATTGCTGGCTTGCGTTGAGCTTCTCATCAACCACCATCCCCCAAGTCCTTCTCCTCAGGGCTGCTCTCAACCCATTCTCTGCCCAGCCTGTATTTGTGCTTGGGATTGCCCGGTCCCAGGTGCAGACCTTGCACTGGCCTTGTTGAACTTCATGAAGTTCGCACAGTTTAAATCTTAAAAAAAAAAAAAGAAAAGCAGAGTATAAAAACCCTAAGATATTCCTTATAATAGAAGACACAGATCTTCCTTACAACAAAAGCTACAGAAAAGGTGCCCTCACTCTAGGGAACAGAAGAGATGCACAAAGATGAGAAAAAGCATTAGAAACAAAAACTATCTAAGATATTTTAAACACATGAGGAAAATTCTGCTGGGAAGTAGGGGGTAAATCAGCTAAAATAAGAGTCCAGAATGACTATGTTGTAATTAAAATGAGTCTTTGTATCTTAGGGTGCAGAAAGAAAAGAACAACATTCTGAGTACACAGGAACCTGGATAGCTAGGGCTTGAAGAGGTCAAAAG